GGGAGCGAACCAGCAGATGCAAGATCACTAAAATAAAATATATTTTTAAAAAATTTGCTGAGGTGGTACGTGGCAGCTGTGGGTACAGTGCTCTGGCATGTAGACTCTTTGCCACTGCCACATTTGGGGACTGCCTTTTGTGTGGCTGACTATACCTTTCTTGCTCTGCCCCTCAACAATGGTCCACAATCGGCCTCATAGGAACAATGAGCAATGGAAAAGTTGTCTAGCATGGAGGTGTACCGAGTGTGGGAACATGGCAGAAGAAGCAGGCTCCAGAAGGGACTGGAACACTGGGGAGCCAAGAGGCTGGAAAGGGGACGAGGCTGGAGGACAGCGTGGAATTTGGACGTTGACAACCATTTGCCAAAGATGGTTGCTTACATGGGATGGGAAGAGGAAAACCATGTACAGGACATCACTGTCATATGTGTGTCTTCTCTTATAGGACAATGAGGTTAAATGTACTGGTTGGAAAAAAAAAAACTAGGTATTTCATGCATGCTTGGTCTGAATAAAGGTGAATATAACTGCAGCATCTTGCACTAATTAAAACTTTTACCTCCCATGGAATTGGGGCTTGAACACACTAGTTAAAGCACCAACACGGCCCTAGTGCTTCATTTTAAGGGGACTAGGGCATTGTCTAGGCCCTGCCTCTGGGGTTGCCTTCAAGGAGTCTTTCAGAATAGGTGACTTTCTCTGTAAGAGTGGGGCAAACATTCTTCTTCAGCTGCTTCCCCCCACTGCATGTGCATTTGTTCATTTTGGTGACTCCTGTGTCACCCTCACCATCTCTTTTACTGATTCTTGCTTGCCTGTCTGAAGACAAGGCGAACCCCTCAACATTCAGGTAATCTGCTAACAGGAAAAGCTCCTGCACCAAACATTCCAATACCACACCTGCTTTTCTTCGTTCTTCCTCTTTCCAACCAGTGCACAAACAGGACAGATGGGACTCTCCTAATGTGGGGCCCTGTACCTCTCGGTGCACCTCCAGACGAGTTATGTATTCTGAGTAGTTTGCCTGGGTGGGAAAGGAAGCAATCGCCAAAGTTCCTTCTAGTTTAAAAGCTCTGAAAAAACTAAGTGAGGCACCAGCGTCCCTATCAGAACAGGTCACAAATTTCCAGGCTGCCACGGGCGTAAGAGTGGAACAGTGGGAAAAGGCTGACTTTTCTACCCAAAAGATTTGGATTAAAGTCCCAGAAGTCGGCCAGCACCGCGGCTCAATAGGCTAATCCTCTACCTGCGGCGCCGGCACCCCAGGTTCTAGTTCCAGTGGGGGCGCCGGATTCTGTCCCGGTTACTCCTCTTCCAGTCCAGCTCTCTGCTGTGCCCCGGGAGTGCAGTAGATGGCCCAAGTGCTTGGGCCCTGCACCCGCATGGGAGACCACGAGGAAGCACTTGGCTCCTGGCTTAGGATTAGCGCAGTGCGCTGGCCGCAGCACACCGGCCAAAGCAGCCATTGGGGGGTGAACCAACAGTAAAGGAAGACCTTTCTCTCTGTCTCTCTCTCACTGTCCACTCTGCCTGTCAAAAAAAAAAAAAAAAAAAAAATCACAGAGCAACTCCAGTAACATCTTGGGCAAATTTCTAAACCTAAGCCTGCAACTTATATAATCCTCAAAAAGTCACCACAGCTCACTAGGCTAATCCCCCTCCGCCTGTGGTGCCGGCACCCTGGGTTCTAGTCCCGGTTGGGGCACCGGATTCTGTCCCGGTTGCTCCTCTTCCAGCCCAGCTCTGCTGTGGCCCGGGAGTGCAGTGGAGGATGGCCCAAGTGCTTGGGCCCTGCACCTGCATGGGAGACCAGGAGGAAGCACCTGGCTCCTGGCTTCGGATTGGCACAGCGCACTGGCTGTAGCGGCCATTTGGGGAGTGGACCAACGGAAGGAAGACCTTTCTCCCTTCTCTGTCTCTCTCTAACTCTGCCTATCGTCCCCCCCCCCAAAAAAAAGTCACCTCCAAAGGTTGAACCTAAACCTTTGAAAACTCCAGGCTAATTTTCCAACATGTCCCAAAATAAGAGACTAAGGGGCACACAGAGCAAGGAGGCCTTTCTAAATTCCAATTCAGGTCGTTGCCCCTCTCAGCTCTAGCCATCTCCTCCCTATTTTATCTTTGCCACAGCCAAGTCGACAACACTGTACTACACCTAGACAGCACCCAATGTGCCAAGCCCTCTACTCTGCAAAGAAGAGGCTCTACAAAGATTACACGCTCTCTAAACACCTTCCCACATCTCCACTTTACCCCACGCAGCTCCTAGGATCATCTCTCACACACCTGCATTGAATCTTTTTTTTTTAAACTGGGCAAATGAGGCTCAAAAGCTAAATGGTTCACCCAAGGAAGGTCACACAACTAATGAGCACCTGGGCCTAGAAGTCAGATCTCTCAATCTTTCTCGGAGCCACTTAATTACTAATCTCACCTATACCAAGCTCCATGCATTCCATTTAAACACAGTCCACTTAACAGGTGCACTCATCTAACTACTTGACCCTTATGTACAAAGTACCCACTGTGGGCCATGCACAGGCACAGTACGGCATGGTAGCTCAATGAACAGGCCATTTGGTTGGCCTGCTTCAATCCCTGCTCTCCAGTGCCTCAGTTCTCCTATATATCTATAAAATGGATGAACATAATTCTACCTTACTAATAAGACTACTGAAAATTAAATGTAATGATCTCTCTAAAGGTTTGGCACAACCTATGGGTCCATTACACACTGAAAAGTAAGTTACTGGGGCTCGCACTGTGGAGCAGCGAGTTAACGCCCTGGCCTGAAGCGCCGGCATTCCATATGGGCGCTGGTTCTAGTCCCGGCTGCTCCACTTCCGACCCAGCTCTCTGCTATGACCTGGGAAAGCAGTGGAAGATGGCCCAAGTCCTTGGGCCCCTGCACTTGCGTGAGAAACCCAGAGGAGGCTCCTGGCTCCCGGCTTCTGATCAGCACAGCTCTGGCCTTTGCGGCCAATTGGGGAGTGAACCTCTCTCTGTGTAACTCTTTCAAATAAATAAATAAATCTTTAAAAAAAAAATGAGTTGCTTTTATCATCCTAGGTTCTGGGGTAGAGGGAGAATTAGACAAGACCCTTCACCTCAAGGAGTTTACATGCTAGAGCGAAACAGTTACTAAGAAAAAGTTCAGGCCGGCGCCGCGGCTCACAGGGCTAATCCTCCGCCTTGCGGTGCCGGCACACTGGGTTCTAGTCCCGGTCGGGGCACCAGATTCTGTCCCGGTTGCCCCTCTTCCAGGCCAGCTCTCTGCTTTGGCCCGGGAGTGCAGTGGAGGATGGCCCAAGTGCTTGGGCCCTGCACCCCATGGGAGACCAGGAGAAGCACCTGGCTCTTGCCTTAGGATCAGCGCGGTATGCTGGCCGTTGGAGGGTGAACCAACGGCAAAGGAAGACCTTTCTCTCTGTCTCTCTCTCTCACTGTCCACTCTGCCTGTCAAAAATAAAAAAAAAAAAGTTCAAAGTATGATGAATGCTATGAAAATGTATGTGTGACAGCGAGCTGAGACACTTCCTACGTACAGTGGTCAAGAAGGCATCTCAAATGACACTTAACTAGAATGACCAGGATTTAACTTAACAAAAAGTAGAAGAGGAAAACAACAGTTGTGGCCCATGTCGTGGCCCAGAGGGTTAAGCCACAGCCTGCAGTGCCAGCATCCCTAGAGATACTGGTTCAAGTCCTGACTGCTCCATTTGGGATCCACCTCCCTGCTAAGGTGCCTGGAAAAGCAGCTGAGGCTGGCCCAAGTGCCTGAGCTCCAGCCACGGTGGGCAAACAGATGCAGTTCCTGCCTGCTGGCTTCAGGCTGGCCCAGGCCAGGATGGGGTGCTGCCAAGGTGGGGAGCAAACCAGAGGATGGAAGATCTCTGTTTCTCCTCTATGTGTGACTCTGCCTTTCAAATAAACAAATCCCCCACACACACACACCCACACCAAAAAACCAGCTGGTGCTCAGATCCTGTGCTTAGAGCAAGCTGGCATGTTCCAGGAAGAACAAGGGGCTAGCCAATAGGCAGCAGTTGGGGAATAGGGAACTAGCCGGGGGTGAGAGGTCAGCAGGCCGGGTAAGAAGTGTCTGCATGGTGATGGGCTAGGAATCGCTCGGGGGGTTGTAAGCAAGGGGTGGGTACGCGATGTGATTCACGATGCTGCAGGTGCCCCTCTGGGTGCGCTGTGGACAACAGGCAGTCGGGGCAAGAGTGGGAGCTGAGAGCCGCGGTCACAAGGCAGCTGCTGTCGCTCGGGACCGGCTGCATCTCCCGCACACAGAACCAGACGCGCGCACCTAGCAGGTGAGGGGAGCGGCGGCGGCCCAACAAAAGAAACGTAAAAATGCCCCCGATCGGGGCTGGAATGCGGCTCCAGGCTTCCCTCGTATCCCAGCGGCCTCCCCGTGTGTCCGGCTCCCCATTCCTTCTCCCCCAGGCCAGTGCGGTGAAGCTTGAAGATCGCCAGCCTCGGGTTCGCGTCCAGACGCAGGTTCTTCCTGGAGGGGGCCCCGGGCGTCTCCCGAGCTTCACGCCCCCTTCACACAGCGGGAGGACTCCACCAGCGTCCGGCGGCGGCAAACACCCCCGGCAGCGCTCTCGCTCTGCACCGTCCCTCAGGCCGGGCCCACGGCCTCCGCGCCCTCGGGTGCCCTCCGCGCCCGCCCCCGCCCAGGTGGCCGCTCACCCGGATGCCCTGCAGCACCCGGACCCGCTCCTCCTCGTCCATTCCGAAGGACACTCTGCGGCTCTCGCTGCTCTCCGTGCTCCCCATGGCTGGAGGAGGGCAGGAAGCCGGCGGGCGGCCACGCTCCACAGCTCCAGAGCAACCAGGCAGACGCCGCGCGGTGGGCGTCCTGCGCTTCCCAGGACTCAGGCTGTCGCGGGGTGCAAGCCAACAAAACCAAATTTTATTGGCCGCCACCCGGAGATCGACCAATCAGATGGCGGCGGCTGCGCGATGCCTTCTGGGAGTTGTAGTTCTGCCGGTCCGAGGCCTCTTCCGTATGCAGGGAGCACCGTGGGGGCGTGGTGGTCAGACCATAGATGGCATGTTAGGCTGAGGTAGAGGCTGGGTGCTTTCAGGAGAGCCTGGAATGGCGGACTACCGAGCAGAGGAGGCATGGCCAAGGGCCTGCTTTAGAAAATTCACTCTTGAAGCAGAGATGAAGTAGGTATTCTGAAGCAAGAAGCCCACCCAGGAAGCTGAGGCGAACTTCTGGCAGTCCATGGCTTCATTTCTTCAGCAAACAGGCACTGAGTGCCCTGTTCCCACAAGTTTACGGTGTTGGAGCCGAAGCAAGCAAAAAAAAAAAAAAAACTAAACTAAACTGTGATAAACAGAAAATGGCGTCATGGTTCTGCCATAACGTACGTAACAGGAGTCCCTGAATTTGAGGGGTCCCAGCAACGTCACCGAGGAGGAAGCGCTTGAACTGAGACCTACGGACAAGGTGGGAGAGGAACTCCCCTGGAAACCCACACGCACCAGGGCCTGGCCGTGGGGACGCGTGAAAGAGGCCCACGGCGTGGCTGGACAGCAGGGAGGGAGCCGAGGGGAGCCCTGGCCGTGAGGTCGGAGGAGCGGGGAGGGTCTCGCAAGACGGGGTCGGGGTTGGGATGTTACTCTAGATGCCTTGAGAGACAGGCAGCAGTGGCCCTGAAGGTCTGAGGGACGTTGTCCAAGGAGCATAGATGGTGCGTGTTGAGTGCGTTGGACCGAATGTGGTGCTGATGCTTCTCCCCGGGACCTATGTGTACTGGTGCAGAGGACTGCCACTCGTAGCCACTACCTTACATGAGGCCCCCTCTCGTTCCTCTCCGTTGCTCAATGGCGTTGATTCACCAAAGTGACCCTGAGACTCAGCTTGGAATCTGGGGCTGAGAGACTCTAGCTTGTTTCCGGAAGCAGGAAGAATTATGGGCAGCCCCTTTTGGGCAACCTGGACAGAAGGGCATGCAGGGGAGAGGGTAGGGGGAGACACCAGTGAGATGCCCTGAGGCTGAAAACAGCTCAGTACAGAGAAGCCGGGAACATTCCCAGGCTGGGGTGGTTAGTAGAGGCCTCACTCAGGGTACAGCCCCATTTCCTCCTTCTGTGCGGGGTTGCATGGGGATTTGCTGCCAGCGGTTTGTTCTGGGAGTTCCCCGGGGGAAGAAAGTGAAGAAAGCAGGTCAAGGCCAAGGTGGGGGAAGCTAAGGAAGGATGCGTTCCTATCTGGTCTTGGGCTTTCCTGTGCTGGGGGGTTTTCCATAACTGAATCTCCTTAGTTGCTACTGTTCTGTTCAAATGTTCTTTCTTGGTGTTTCGGTTTTGCTAAATTGTATATACCTGGGACTGTGACCATCTCTTTTAGGTTCTCTAGTTTGTTGGTATATAATGGTTCATAGTGAAGACATCTATTATGAGATCCTTTGTATTTCTGTGATATCAGTTATAAAGTCTCCTTTCATTTCTAGTTTTACTTGGTACTCTCTCTCTCTTTTTTTCTTGGTCCGTCTAGCTAAAGGCCGTCAGCTCTGTTGATCTTTAAGAAACACAACTCTGAGTTTTGTTATTGTTCATTGTCTTGATTTCTGGAAATTTCAGTTATTTCTGCTCTGATCTTTCTTCTTTCCTTGTTCTGTCTTTGGCTGTTTGTCCTTTCTTTGTTGTTTCTTGAAGTATGAAGTTAGGTTGTTTATTTGAGATCTGTCTTTTTCTTCATGTAGTGTTTATCACTATACACTTCCTTCTTAAAAACAGTTTTGCTGCATCCTGTAAGTTTTGGTATATTTTGTTTCCATTTTTGTTGGTCTCCAGATAAATAAATTTCTCCCTTTTTTGATTCCTTCTTTGTCCCATTGGTGGTTCAGGAATGTGTTGTTTAATTTCCTCACATTTGTGAATTTTCAAAAATTCCTCCTATTGTTGATTTCTTTTTTTTAAAAATTTATTTATTTATTTATTTATTTGAAAGTCAGAGTTACACAGAGAGGAGAGAGAAAGAGAGAGAGAGAGAGGTCTTCCATCCGATGGTTCACTCCCCAATTGGCCACAGTGGCCGGAGCTGCACCAATCCAAAACCAGGAGCCAGAATTCTCTTCCGGGTCTCCCATGCCAGTGCAGGGGCCCAAGGACTTGGGCCATCTTCCACTGCTTTCCCAGGCCATAGCAGAGAGTTGGATCAGAGTGGAGCAGCCAGGACTCAAACCAGCGCCCGTATGGGATGCTGGTGCTTCAAGCCAGGGCGTTAACCCGCTGCACCACAGCGCCGGCCCCCCTATTGTTGATTTCTTTTTTCTTTTTTTTTTAATTTTTTTTTGACAGGCAGAGTGGACAGTGAGAGAGCGAGACAGAGAGAAATCTATTGTTGATTTCTAACAACAAACTATCCAGAAAAGATTATAGGAGTGGGCTGGCCGGCGCATGCAGCTCACTAGGCTAATCCTCCGCCTGCGGCGCCGGCACACCGGGTTCTAGTTCCGGTCGGGGCGCCGGATTCTGTCCCGGTTGCTCCTCTTCCAGGCCAGCTCTCTACTGTGGCCTGGGAAGGCAGTGGAGGATGGCCCAGTGCTTGGGCCCTGCACCTGCATGGGAGACCAGGAGGAAGCACCTGGCTCCTGGCTCCTGGCTCCTGGCTTCTGATTGGTGCAGCACGCCGGCCATAGCGGCCATTTGGGGGGTGAACCAATGGAAGGAAGACCTTTCTCTCTGTCTGTCTCTCTCTCACTCTGTAACTCTGCCTGTCAAGAAAAAAAAAAAAAAAAAGGAGTGGGCATTGTGGTGCAGCAGGTTGAGCCACTCTGCGCCTTGGGGTAGGCACATCCCATTTCAGAGTGTGCCTTTGGGAGTCCTAGCTGCTCTGCATTTCTGATCCAACCTCCTGCTAATGTGCTCAGGCCCTTGCCACCACCCACCCACCCACCCACCCACCCAAGAGTTCCAGGCTCCTGGCTTTGGCCTGGTCTACCCCCCGCTGGAGTGAACCAGCCAATGAAGGAATGGAGGATCCATCTCTCTTCCTCTCTCACTCCCCCCCCCCCCCCGCACCGTTACTTTGCCTTTTAAGTAAGCATATCTTTTTTAAAAATGATACCATTGACAATACCATCACAAGGAATAAAATACCTAGGAATAAACCTAACCAAGGAGTGGAAAGATCTGTGCACTGAAAACCATAAGACGATGAAAAGTGTTGCTGAGGACACTAATAGATGAAACAATATCTCCTGTTCTTGGATTGGAGAAATTAACATTGGTAAAATGTCCACACTGCCGAAAGCAATCTACAGATTTAGTGCAATTGTATTCAAAATTCCAATAGTGTTTTTCCCAGAAATTCTTCAAAAATCCTAACATTTCATTATGGAACCACAAACAACCCCAAATAGCCAAAGCAATCATGAAAAAGAACAAATCTGGGAAAATAACATGCCCTGATTTCAAATTATATTACAAACCTATAATAATCAAAACAGTGTGGTACTGGCATAACATATAGACATATAGACCAACAGAGCAGTAAAAAGGGCCCAGAGATAACCTCATGCAAATAAAGTCAACTAATCTCTGATGAGAGTGCCACACAGTAGGGGAAAGAAAGTATGCAAAAAGTGAAATTGGATCCTTAGGCCATATAGGAAAATCAACTCACAGTGGCTTAAAAGCTTAAATGTAAGATCTGAAACTATAAAACTCCTAGAAGGGAAGATACGGAAACAGTTACTTGACGTTGCTCTTGGCAATGACTCTTTCCAACATTACACCAAAAGCACAGGAAACAAGAGCAAAAATAAATAAATAAAAAAAAGTAGGGGCCGGCACTGTGGCACAGCGGGTTAAAGCCCCGGCCTGCAGTGCTAGCGTCCCATATGGGTGCCGGTTCTAATCCTAGCCGCTCTGCTTCCTATCCAGCTCTCTGCTATGGCCTGCGAAAGCAGTAGAAGATGGCCCCAATTTGGGAAAAGGGGGCTGCCTTCCATTTCCCACCCCGGGCACCTGAGGAAGATTCTTCAGAAAAAGGGGCATCTGTGAACCATCAGCTGTCCACACCATAGCAGCTCAGGGAGGCTCACCAGCTGGCAAACAAAATCCAAGTGAGGCCCTACTGACAGCCACTACCTGTTCCAAATATTTTCAAAGGCTCCTGGATGCCTGCATGGCTTCTACCACTGTAAATGGGATTCGGAACAATTGGAGAAAGGGCTGACACTTTCTTCTGGAGCAGATGATGAAATAGTTAACACCTTGAACTAATTCTACACAATAAAGGCCAGAGCCAAGGGGTGGTCGTAACACTACCTGGGCCTCACCTCCACGGTCCTGCACTGTGGGAAGTCCTTTGGGAGTCTTGGAATTCCACAAACGTAGAGTGGGGTTACACTGACAGCAGCACAGATGAGCCTCGTGACAGCCCTTGGTTCCATCGCCACACTGCACACGTGGGAAAATCACGGAGAAAATAAGTGGAGATGATGTAACATTAGACCCCCACAGTGGAATGCGGGTTTGAGTAGAGGCGGTGGCCTAGGAATGCTGAGGAAAGGAGGGGAGGAGAAATGGCTGTTTTTGAGCACCTTCTCGGTGCCAGGCGCCACGGAACGGGCACACCTGCTTTCCGCATGGTTAATCTATGACTAATGTATTGAGTCCTCAAAATCCCCCTGGGAGTGTTAGTACCCCCATTCTCAGGCCTGGGAAACAGAATTCCCTCCCCTTCGGACATGGCATGGCTAGAAGTAGCTGCACGGCCCCAGCCACCTCCAGGGGCTGAGCAGTATTTTCTCCCGGGAGGAGCAGGAAAGAGACCAACAAGTAAGCCCTAGTGCCAACAGCTGGCTGATGAGTGAACAACTCACTGATCCTGTATGGCTTCCTGCGAAGACCTATCTACGCAAAATATGCTTAGAACAACCAAGAGACTTCCCACACTAAGATAGCACTGAGGGACGACAGTCCCAGTGCGTTCCTATGGACAGATGTGTCATGACAACAGCCAATTCGTGACTTCCGCTGTACAGTAACCATACCCCATGGGTCTTCTGCCTTAGCAAGATGTGTTTCTAGGTGGTAAAATCATCACCCAGTGATGCTGGCGTGCACATGCCTTTGAAGGTAAATGGTTTGCCACGCTGTTCACTTGTCCCCGTTTCCATTTCACTGTGCACTGATTAAAAACTTCCTCAGGGCTAACGTTTGGAAACCACTGGTGAGGATTGGAGGCCTGGTGGGAAAAAAGGAGGTGGACTGAGGGCTGCCACTGTAGCTCACTGGAAGAGTGGGTGAGCCCACAGTCCAGACTCCAGTGAGGAGAAGGGCTTAAAGGAGCAGGTGGCGCCGAGCCCTTCCTAGCTCTTTGCTAGTCCTCGCCTTCCTGAACCTGGGGCTCAGCTGTGGGATGGGAGCAGTTGAGCCCCTTGTTCCCCTCCCTCCCCGCAGGCCTGAAGCACTGGAAGCAGCTGAACTGGAGAT